ATGGACAGGCTGATGTTGGGGTTTGTGTTTGCTCTCTGCTCTGTGTTTCAGCTTTGCCGCCCTCACCGAGAGATGTCTTGCTTCCGACCCTGTCTCCCACAGTCCTGCGGCAGCTGTGGCCCAACGCCACTTGCAAGCAGCTGCACTGAGCCCTGCGTTGCCCGCTGCGCTGACTCGACGGTGGCCATCGAGGCCTCCCCGGTGGTGGTGACCCTGCCGGGCCCCATCCTCACCCCTTTCCCTCAGAGCACAGCCGTGGGATCCTCCCTGTCAGCTGCTGTTGGCAGGTCCCTCAGTGCTGGGGGGGTTCCCATCTCTTCTGGGGGCTCCCTTGGTCTGGGGGGCTCAGGCCTGTGTCTGCCTCCCCCCTGCTGCCGTCTGAACTGCTGAAGCAGGCCGACCATCCCCTTTGGAGCGGGAAGGAAGAGGGGGCCTCTGCAGCGGCAGGAGCGTGGCCACGGCTTGCCGACCGGCTGGCTGTCCTCATCCCCCCTGGCAGGAGGGACCTGTGCCACTGCTCCTGGCTGCACGGCAGGCCTCTCTGTCACTCCTCTGGCTCTGCTTTGCTCTGAGCTCCTCGAGAAAGGGCCCGTTATCTTCTGCTTTGCTGAACATTTGTGCCACTGCACATCCTCTTTCTCATTAAAGATCTTATGAAGCACAGCAGGGGACTTGGGGTGCTTTGTTGTGCTCCTGCCTCAGTCACCTAGCAGCTCTGCAAGGAGGTGGGAGAATCCGTGCTGTCCCCACGCAGCAGAAATAATCCCAAGGATGGGTCTCTGCCCGTCGTTGTTGGAGCGCCGCAAACCGGTAGCAGAGCAAGAAACAGAATCAAGCAGGCAAGAGAAAGACAGGGAAATCCCCAGAGAAATGGATGGAACCAGAAGCCGTTGTCAGGGGTGGAAACAGAAGTAATGCCACACAGGGTAGCCCTGTTTCACTGTGAGGGTGGTCAAACAGTTGCCCAGGGAGAGCTGGAGAGTCTCCATCTGTGGAGATCTCCAACACAGAAACAGACAAGGCCCTGCACAGGCTCCTCTCTCGACCCTGCTTTGAGGCAGGCACGGACTGCCTGTTGTGCTCCTCAGGTGGTGCGTGGTGTGCAGAGCCGGTGGCGGAGGGTGGCTGAGGCTGGAGGAGCCACCGAGGAGAAGGGAGGAGGGAGGGGCCAGTGCTGAGGTAGGCCACTGCTGCAGAGGTTTGGTGGTCCCAGGGCAGGAGAAGGGGCACCGACGTCAGTCCCAGGGCTGGGAGCACAGGAAAGGATGGAAAATCAGAGAGCATTAAGCAAGTGACCCAACAGCAAGGCTGTGAAGGTGTAAGCGTGCTGAGGAGAAGCCTGGGAGAGCAGCCAAAAGGCTGAGGTCCCGCTGAGATTTGAACTCAGATCGCTGGATTCAGAGTCCAGAGTGCTCACCATTACACCACGGGACCTCCTGGGGGCGTGACTCTCACTCTGGCTGCCACCCGCCATGACCCATACCCTCCTGGCTCAGCCCGCCACTCTCTCCAACTCTGTGCCCATCTTACTGGTGTCCTGGAGACATGCTGCCATGGCTCCTGTGACCAGATTCTGTCGTATCGTCAGTTGTCTCTCAGTAACGCCCCCAAATCCTTTTCTGCTGGACAGCCCCTCCACCCCAAGCCTGTAGTGTTGCCTGCGGTTGTTGCTACCCAAGTGCAGGACTTGGCCCTTGGCCTTCTGGAACCTCATACAAGTGGTCTTGGCCCTCCATATGATTGGCCCTTCAACCCTCCATACAGCTCCACTGCCCACAATGGTTTTTGACTGTCATCACAGCAATGAATGTTGCTTTTTTTGCTCACAGCAACCCTGGAACCAGAGACTTGACAAGTTTCCTCCCCTTCCACTAGAGAGTCTAGTTGAGAAAGGTTCCTTGTGTTTCCCTTGCCCCATGGGCCATAAGCTGGAAGAGGAATGAGGTGTCTCAGTTCATAGCTATCAGGAACATCCAGTTCCATCCATCCATCCAGTTCCAGTAAACTTCAGGGTTTCTCTGCAATGCAGAACCATGTATAGGGTAGGTCAGCCACCCTGAACATGGGCAGGGAGGCATAGCCCCTCCGAGACATGCAGTCTGGATCTTTAAGCAGAGTATTTCAGAGGTTACAATGTGTACCAGAGTCTGTTTTCAGAAAAGAGCTCTATAGAGGAAATAATGCTGTGCTCTGTGTTTGCTTGGAGAACAGCCCAGCAGAGGGACCTGCATGTACTGGTTGTGAACTGGTTGAACATGAGCCAGCAGTGTGTCCAGGTGGCCTGGAAGGCCAATGGCATCCTGTGTTTTATCAGGAATAGTGTGGCCAGCAGGACTAGTGATGTGGTTATGCCTCTGTACACAGCACTGGTGAGGCCTCATCTTGAATCCTGTGTGCAGTTCTGTGCCCATCACTTCAAGAAGGACATTAAGGTGCTGGAGCAGGTCCAGAGGAGAGCAATGAGGCTGGTGAAGGGACTAGAGGGAAAGTCTTACAGGGAGAGGATGAGGGAGCTGGGGTTGTTTAGCCTGGAGAAGAGGGGACTCAGAGGGGACCTTATCACTCTCTTCAATTACCTGCAAGGAGGTTGCAGTCAGGTGAGGTTGGGCTCTTCTCTCAGGCAACTAGTGACAAGACAAGAAGGCATGGCCTGAAGCTGCACCAGGGAAGGTTTATGTTGGATATTAGGAAGCACTTCCTCATGGAGAGGGTGATCACACCTGGAATGGACCATTGGAATGGCCCAGGGACGTGGTGGAGGCACTGTCTGTGGATGTGTTCAAGGAAAAGCTGGATGTGGCACTTGCTGCTGTGGTCTGGCCGATGTGATGGTGTTAGGTCATAAGCTGGACTTGATGATCTTAAAGATCTTTTCCAGCCTTGGTGATTCTGTGATTCTGAACACAGACATTCTACATGCCATCTGAAGGGGATGAAACATTTGACAAGCAAGCACTGGAGAGATGGAAAGGATGCAGTAGGATGGAGAGCAAATTTCTATACATTATATAAAGAATGGACATTGTTCCACTGGATATCATTCCACTGTACCTAGAAATTGCATACCTGGCCTCACAAAGCACAGTGTATTCTTCATCTTTACCCTGCCACAGCAGCATGATGTTCTTACCAAGTGAAACCATCAGCAGCAGCAGTGGGATAAGCTCTGAGGCAGACTGAAGAATCCCTTTCTATCTGCTGTATCAGCACCAGAGTGAGGAGCCCAGCATAGAACCACCTTAGCAGGAAGGAAACATTTATCTCAGTGGGGTGTCCTCCCGGGCCCCAAGCAGCTAATGCTCACAATGAATCAGCATTTCACACCAGCACCCTCGTCTAGGATTCCTGAGAAACTGTGGAGAACCATGGATTAAGAGACCGCCCTGCAAAAGCAGCTACATCCTGTCACACAAGAGAGAAGTTGAGCCTAAGAGCCTCACCTCTTCCCCCCGCGTTACAGGAACATCACCCTTCCTCTGTGCTGCTCTAATCACAACAGCCGTGGGCCCCACACGAGACTTGACTCCCGTGGGAGTCCACAGCAAGGAAGGGTCTCTTTTCCCTTACGGGCACGGGGGCACAGATGCTTGGACTAGGAGACACAGGAAAGCTGCCGGAGGTTGAAGCTGATCTGATCGGCTTCCAGGGAAGCAGCTCTGTGCTCCTGGCTATTGTTCCACGGCGCAGCGGAGCCGTCTGCTCTGTGCTGGCTTCTTTGGTGGGACAGGCTGAGCTGGAGGTTTAGGAGCAGCAGAAAGTAACCGTGAAGGTAAAAGTACGTTCGCCGGGAATCGAAACCAGGTCAACTGCTTGGAAGGCAATTATACTCACCACTATATCCCCAACGCCTGTAGTGCCAGTAGGCCAATGTTTCACACCTTGTCCCTTCATCCCGCGCATCCCCGCCCGGCCCTGCCAGCCCATTTCCCCCCAGTTTCTGCACCGCCCCCCCTGCGGCACAGCCCATGGGCGCCTTAGCTGCATTAACCACCGGCTAGGGGACATCAGGACTGCTCAGGGTTGGGGGAAAGACACTGGGCACACCACCACTGAGCTCCAGCCATGGACTCTGCACAGACTTATGCTATGGCCCAGGGTTCAAGGGACCTCCTGGCGTCATGTGGGAGGGAGGAGGGGATGCGTGATCACTACTGATAGCCAGCCCTGAGCAGCCACAGAGGAAGAAAAACACAGAATCATAGAATATGCTGAGTTGGAAGGGATCCAGCAGGACCATTGAGTCCACCTCCTGTCCCTGTGTAGGGCACCACTAGAATCACACCATGTGCCTGAGAGCATCATCCAAACGCTTCTTGAACTAAGGATCAGACCATCTGTCTTGATCATGCTGCTGGTGCTTTTCAGGGTGCTTCTAAGGGCATCACTCCCCATCTGCATCCATACATGCACCACAGGGGCATGGACCATGCAAGAGTGTATGTGTACGTGTGGCAGCGTAAGCACAATCACCCAGCTGTTCCCTCCTTTCCCCACTCTCAGGAGGATGCTTCCAGATCAAGATACAATCAAGAAGATGACTTAGCAAAAACCGTTGGCGGAAAACCAGGCTCAACTCGAGGGAAATTTATTGCCAATTCTGTTAGATTGACATAGTGAGAAATAAAGATGAATATAAAACACATGGCACAGAGAAGGAGGAGTCTCTGCTTTCTTTCTCTTTCTTTCTTTCTTTCTTTCTTTCTTTCTTTCTTTTTCTTTCTTTCTTTCTTTCTTTCTTTTTCTTTCTTTCTTTCTTTCTTTCTTTTTCTTTCTTTCTTTCTTTCTTTCTTTTTCTTTCTTTCTTTCTTTCTTTCTTTTTCTTTCTTTCTTTCTTTCTTTCTTTTTCTTTCTTTCTTTCTTTCTTTCTTTTTCTTTCTTTCTTTCTTTCTTTCTTTTTCTTTCTTTCTTTCTTTCTTTCTTTTTCTTTCTTTCTTTCTTTCTTTCTTTTTCTTTCTTTCTTTCTTTCTTTCTTTTTCTTTCTTTCTTTCTTTCTTTCTTTTTCTTTCTTTCTTTCTTTCTTTCTTTCTTTCTTTCTTTCTTTCTTTCTTTCTTTCTTTCTTTCTTTCTTTCTTTCTTTCTTTCTTTCTTTCTTTCTTTCTTTCTTTCTTTCTTTCTTTCTTTCTTTCTTTCTTTCTTTCTTTCTTTCTTTCTTTCTTTCTTTCTTTCTTTCTTTCTTTCTTTCTTTCTTTCTTTCTTTCTTTCTTTCTTTCTTTCTTTCTTTCTTTCTTTCTTTCTTTCTTTCTTTCTTTCTTTCTTTCTTTCTTTCTTTCTTTCTTTCTTTCTTTCTTTCTTTCTTTCTTTCTTTCTTTCTTTCTTTCTTTCTTTCTTTTTCTCTTTCTTTCTTTCCTTTTTTCTTTCCTTCTTTCCTTCTCTCTCTGTCTGGCATTTTCTATCCTTTCTTCATTATGTTTTCACAAAGGCCAAAAACTTTGCTTACCTATCAGCTGTGTCCTGTACTGGGTCTGATGTGGAGCTGGAACCTGCTGTGTCTGGCACAAGGGAGCCCCTTAGCTCTATTCACAGAAGCCACCCTGTAATGCCCCATAACCTCTCCACTACCAACATTTGGCCACATATAGCCAATACAGTGCCCATCGAGAATACCTGCTCCACCCTGCTCCTGGATGGACCTGGGAGTGGAAACACAGGCAAACAACCCAGGATGGAGAAAATCCCCAAGTAGTCAAGTTGATCACATTGGTGTTTCCTAAACTAGCACGAGCCTTGTCCTCCTCCACACCTGCAGAGTCCTGGAGCTTCCTACTTCAGGCTAACATTACACCAACCCCTCCCAGGCACACAGCATCTAAACTAACACAACCACACTCAAAGGTTTGGTCTGCATTCAGGGACAATGCTCTTGGCAGTCAAACAATAGTGTGATTTATTGAAGCAACAAATGCACAAGTTCTTTGGATTGCCAGTGACAAATTAGCTATCTACAAAGCAGGTGCAAATACTAAGAATATGAGTAATACAGCCTCACTACTAATGTGTTATGTGATAAGAAATAAAGAAGAAAGGGGGTGGGAGAGGGAGGAAAAAGGGAAAAGGGAGTTCTAAGGAGGTTTCAGTGTTATCAGTCCCAGAAACAGAGAGGGACTGAAAATACGCTGTTAATTTCAGCCAGTGGAGCTACTTAGAAAAAAAATAACTGAAAGTGAAATTTCTAGAAAGAAAATTGGTTCTATCCTGGCTCAAACCAGGACACACTTTCACCAGTCATCCCACACAAGTGTACTACAAAAGCTTGTCAAATCCCAAGGGTGCTAGAAGGAACATGTGAGCACTCCAGGAAAGTGCAGAAGTGCTGCCTGAATGTTTAGTGAGAAAGGATTGTGCTGACAGAAAGGATGTCTATCTTGTTCATAATGCCCTTTTTGGAAGCTGGAGTCATATTTAGAAGTCTTGATTAAGGTTTATAACACACTCAGGCGTAAGTAAGGGCAGGGGAGTGGAACTCAGCTCAAAGTGCCTGTCTGAATGTATGCACCTGATGCCAGTAAAGATACCCCAGCTTTTAGAACAAGTCTGTAGGGTTGGGCAAGGGCCAAGACCTGCATGTCATTTTGAAGTGGCAGCTTGAAGGCCAAGCAGGATACCTTCATGCATCTGAAGTGGCAGCAAGTTCAGCAATATTCTGAAGGTATTTAGATGCTTGGCTGATATGGGGACCAGTCCAGAGGACTGGATGTCTTCAGGGCATGCATCCAAGATCCAGGAGTCTATTCACATGTTATATTGATACCTTTCATGTTCCACAGGATTGACATGTATGAAGCAGAACCATATGGATCCCTGTGTCTTTCTAGAGCATCGGGTGAAGGACACACAAATCTCTTTTCTGATGCTTAAAGATGCCTTTTCTTAGGCAACCAAATCACATGAGTGCTCTTACAGTGAGTATTGCCTTAAACACCTCACTGTCAGATGCTTAATGCTGTTTCATGGATCTGAATTGTCAACCTGGAAAGCAAGGAGTCTGTCTAAAATCTGTGGATTGCAAATATCTGGCTGTCTGAGTCAAGGCATCATTTCCAGAAATCATATTTGGAGCCAGAAGTTTGCTCTCCATTCTCTGCATCCAGGCCATTACGCCAACAATTCAGAGCACACCTTTGTTCTGTCCTCTGAAATCCAAAAGGCAGACACAGCACATCCAGTGTCCAAGAATATCACATGCTTCTCCCTCAACATGGAACTGCAGCCCAAGTTAACAGTGAATGTGGGAATGTCTGTGTAAACATCCACAGCACCTGAAGATGAAGGACTTCTAAATGGCTGCACTCCACATCAAAATTGGGATGTAACAGATAGCCGGTGCTGTCACAAACGTCCATACTTCATAGGCATGAAGCATGACAAAGGACCTGCCGCAGACCTGTTCTGTTCTGGATCTACAGGCAAAGTCTGAGTAGAATACTTGAGCAATTTTAACATGTCTGTAGTACTCTGTAAATGCAAATCAGTTGTTTCATCACTGTCTAGAACACAAATGTTCAAGTATATAAACACAGACAAGATAAGCCACACTGCTAAAGCTAGTAGAAGTGAAGCTCTCATCCATTTTTGAGTTTATTTTGAAATCTAGGTTCATTAGTAAGGTTTCCCTTATACTTACCAGAAAGAAACAGATCCCTCCAGAGGGTTTACTTGAGTCTAATGTTAACAATATAATTCTCAGGCTATGCCCACCCAAAATGTAACACATGTGAGTTCTCTTCAGCTATACAGAAAGTCTGAATTAGAGGAGAGTGATTCAGCTCAAACACAGCTGTCAAGTATTCATATATCTTAGATTATCCAGGACATCTGCATGGAGCTGTCAGCTATACCTCAGGTCCTGCAAGAAACACACATTCTTCTGTACTGGAAGCTAGAGATCGGATGGAGGTACCCCATCATGATGGAAGGCATCATGATGGAGGAAGCATCAAGTCCTTGAATATCTTCCCTGATTTAGGCCTACACAATTAACTTGCAAATGCATTAAACTACATGAAATAATCAGCAATTTTTCATTCTCTTGCAATACAGTGCTCTTTTGACCTCTTGCCTTACAAACACAAGTGGTGGTAAAAGCACATTCTGAGCCTTGTTCCTGGTTTAGTCCTTTTCCTCTGGGAAAGAGTTTTCTCCCTAACATTTTTTTCAGGTCAGATCTCATCTCCTGGTTCCTAGGTAATGTAGATCGAGGGCTTCAGAGCTGGGGTAAAAGCACTGTGTATGAAAGTCACTTGAACATCCCATTTAGGGAGGGCTTCCAGAGGAGGGTGGTGTATAATTGAAGAGCACTGATATGTAAAGCAGTGCCACAATGGTGAGGGGGGAGGCACAGGTGAAGAAAGACTTCATCTTGCTTCCTGGTACCAGACATTCTGGAAGACAAAGGAGATGATAAAGATGTAGAAGAGGACTATGAGAGTGAAGTGACCTAGAACAATAGCTGTGGTGACAACTTTGAGGAGGGTCATTTTGAGACTGGTAGTACTGTAAGCCAAATTCAAGAATGGCTTGATGTCACAGAAGTGATGGATGTGGTTCTGGCCACAGAAACTCAACTGAGAGGTCATAATGGAGTGCACCATGGATGTACAAAACCAGTGGACCAGCTGGCCACAGCCAGCAGCAAACAAGTCTGTGAGCTCATGACAAGGGTGTGGCACAAAGAATTGCAATTGGCCACATAGGGGTCATAGGCCATGGTGGTCAGGAGCATAGCCTCAGTACTGCCCAGGAAGTGGAAGAAGTGGAGCTGGGCCAACCACCCAGCCAGAGAAGGGCTGATGCCCAAAGAGAAAGCCACTCGGCATTTTGGGAACAGTGACTGTAGAGTAGAAAATGTCCAGGTAGGAGAGATTGCCCAGGAAGAAGTACATCAGCATGTGGAGCCGAGGATCAGATACCATAGTCAAAATGGTCCTGTTTTCTAGAAGACTGGTTAACTACAGCAACAGAAAGGAGATTAAGTAAACGCACTGCAGCCCCTGGACATTGCCAAGGCCCTAAACGATGAACTCACTGACCTCTGTCCTGTTCTGCATTGCTAAAACGATAAGCAGTTCCACAGTGGTGAGTAACCACATTACAAAACTCAGTTCTTTCTGTGCAGAAGTGAGAAAAACACAACACATATAGTCAAACATAAAAGCTGCATAGAAACTAACACAGAAAAATGTACTTTAATGTCCTGGTTTGAGCCAGGATGAAGCCAATTTTTCTTTTTACTGATTTTTTTTTCCTTCAGTAAGCTTTCTTGTAGCTAGCAACAGTGTGTTCTGCTAGGCTGATAAGACAGTGGAATGTTTTTCTAACTACTGAGGCTTCAAGGCTGCACCTGCACTCTGCCGGCTCAGACACTATGGGGAGATCTGTGACCCCCCCGTAGGAGGCTGAGTTAGACAGGCAGCAAAACTGGCCAAAGATATTCCATTCCATAGATCTACGTAAGCTCAAAGGAAGGTCAGAGATCACAGAAGACAACTTCCTTCCTTCTTTTTCTCCCCTTCTCTTCCGTCCATGGCCGGCGTCCAGGGAGGACTCTGTTCATCCATCACCGTCAATCCTCAGGCTTGATCCCTCGTGACCCCCATAACTCTCTGCTTTCTCCAGCAGCAGCTCCGGGATTCCTCGGGACTCTTCCCAGTTCAGGGAAGTGCTGTGGGAGTTGCTGGGGTGGGGGGAGGCGAGAGGTTTTTGCCCATTCCTGAATATATTTGTATATAATTGTATATATTTTCTTGTATGATTCATTAGTGTTTTAATTAAAGCTGTGTAGTTTAGTTTTCAATCCAGCCAAGTCTCTCTCTTTTTCTCTCTCTCCTTCCCTACCTGGGTGGGAGGGGGAGGGGATCAAGAGCATTGTTGTCGGACCTGAGTCAAACTGTGACATTTAATATAGTCTTCTGCTATTTTATGTCTAGAACAAAGAAAAGAGTAAAATATCACAGAGGAGAAAATATTAAACTAAAAACTTCCATATGTAAGATGTAAAACACTGGTGCTTCTTCACTTTCAGTCACATTCCTATTTCAAGTCTGCTAATCTTTAAACTCCTGCTACAACATTTCATCTCCTCAATAAAGCTTCTAACTCTTAAAATGAATCACACTTGATGCTTTCTTTCTACTACTGTGCCTAGTAACTTCATTAAGTTAATTTCAACTTTCACATTTCTAGTGGTTACCATCTTCCAGACAGTTCTTTGATCTTAAAAATTGCACAGTTTCCATTATTTTACCAACAGCCACCAGAAGGTGCTCCGAGGTACCATACTATCATCAGCATTTATTTTGTATGTTGCTGAGAATAAAGGAAGAAGACACCTCAGCATGAGATCACAAACTGGTTTTGTTATTGGACTCTGTACTTTGCCTGAAGAATGTATTTTGTTTGAGCAGCAGCAGAGTGGGACAAAAGCCAACATCTCATCTCCTACCACACTGAGATGGGTTTGCAGGAGCTGAGTCAGTTGGTGTGCATTCAAGACAAATTGACTCATCCCACTGGAAGCCCACTGGATTTTCCTGCTGTCCTGAGTTGGAGAGATGGAGTGTCCTGCTACACCTACCACTGAGACAATATGCCTAGTCCTGCCAGTCTTGTTAACCTTCGAAAATGCAAATGAGTATGCACAAGCTTTTGCCTTTTTTGTTTGTTTGTTTGTTTCAGGTAAGCATGTTTATCTCTTAGTGGTAGGTCCCAACCATACAATAAAGAACAAAGTCTCACATTATTTTACCGTGGTAGGCACAGGTGTTTCTAGCTTACAATAGTGACTGCAAATTCTTTCTCTTTCTCATACCTTTTTAGCTTATTATTTCAGCATGAAGAAAGTAAACAAATAGAAATCTCCCAAACTGATTTAATAATAAAAATGTGTATGTTGTCTGAAGGTAATTTACACACATAAGAATCCACTCCAAAAAAATGATCTAATTACTCTGAAAATACTTTTCATATGATCTTTGAACAAACTTTATTGGAAACATTAGATTTTATAATATTCTAGACTCACCAGAATTTTAGTCAATCACCTGCATTTTCAGCAGTATAGATGCAATTCTCTGTTAAATGCTTCTATTTCTTATACATTGATTGTCACCTTTAGTCCTTCTCATTGTAATCCATTTGCAGAAAGGCATCACTCTGTTAAGGTGTCCCACAATCTCCTCTGATTCTGCCTATTTTTCTCAGTCAGCTACAGGTGATCTTCTTTCCCCTATTCCTTCTAACACATTTTTTCTTCTCTTTCTACTGCTTCTTTTCTGATTCACAGATGCTGACTACTACTTTCTCCAACTGACCGGTGAACACTTCCAGTCAGAGGAAACTACTTCTCCCAATCTTCCTTTTTAAATTTTTTTAAGACTCTTGCTTAAATAGAAATGCAAAGCAAACACCCTGCATCCTGAAGCTTGACTATTTTTCCAACTATATAAATTACCTGATTAAAAAGAAAAAAATTCTGCATAAACCTCACCCCACTATGCATCAGCATGTTTTTCATAGTAGGAGGGCCCTCAGAGGGTAAGCCAGAAAGCAAAGCTGAAGACAAAGCTGTTTATTCTGTGGAGTTCAAAGACTGAGCATTTGGCATTCTTCTAGCTGAGAAATTAGTACTGCAGCTGTGGTAGCAATGACTACATCAGGAGCTTGTAGTTATTCAGGTGTGATGCATATTCCATACGTGCCCACTCACAGCCTCGTCCCTACCCAGAACCTACTTGTCTTTCTTGGGGGGTGGGGAGTCGGGCCTGGTTGGGACTGGAGAGAAAAACTCTGTACATTGTTCATCAATAGCCAAAATACTGGTGTTTTATCAACACTGAGCTGGAAAGGCAAAACACACACCATACAGGCTGCTATGAAGACATTTGACTCCATCTCAGACAGACTCAGACAATCTCCATCCCTTATTCCATACATTCTGACTGATGCTTAGGTCCAACATTGCCTGACACATCAAAGTCTCCTCTGACTATCCTATTGTTGTCAGTTATTAATTGAAATATACACCATTTGTGGGGAAAATCACATTTGGGAAAAATAACATAAAAGAGAACATAAGGGACATGCAGAATAAAAACAAGGCCTAGATAACGCTGAAACAGTAAGAATTAGACAAAACCAGATTCCAATTAGAGAAAAACACTCTCCAAGAAGTCACCAGCCTGGCCTTGAGACCGGTCTGCAGGACACCTGCAGGAAAGATGACAGGGATGGACCCACAGCTTGTCTTGGTTACAGCCTTAAGCACTGGGGAAAAAAACACATTGAGTAATTGAAATCACTGTATGAATATATTAATGATCCATTAGCATACTAAAATTCACACCTACAGGCTAGAGGGACCCCTGCTAACAACAAGGCCCCCACTCTTGGAGCAGGCACAGTGACATTCCTGAACACTGGAAATGGAAGCAAGGGATTAGTGACTAGTCGTGTGTGCCAGTTGTAGAACAATAGAGATGAAGTTCTTTTTCACATTTTTTGGTATAAAAGTAGCACTTGTGTTTCAGGAAACTGAGCTTGCTGTGTGGAACACTTTCTGCTCCCTGCTCTGTGCAGAACAGGATATTAAAGCAAATATCTTACCTTATGTGTGGGTTGGCTCCTTGCACACCAAGTGACAGACCAACTTTTAGGACAACATAGCTGTGGAGCATCCCCACATCAGGGGAGGTGCCTGTTCCCAAAGCAGCCCATGACTCTGTGGGAAGCCCACCTTGTGGCAAGGACTCATAAAGAAGAGGTTCATGGAGGACTCTCTCCCACGGGAGGGACCCCATGGGGAAGCAGGGCAGGACTGTGAGGAATCCTTCTTCCTGAGGAGGAAGGAGCAGCAGGAACCACCAGCCTGAGAACTGACTCTAAACTCCATCCCCCTGTGCCGCTGGGGGGAGGGAGAGAAACCAGGAACAAAGGGATTTGGGTGGGAAGAAGGGAGGGGTGGGGTAAAATACGTAAGCCAGGATCTTTATTCTGTGTCCTCTGTGCATATTATTAGTGATAAAATCAATTATTATTTTTCCCCAAGTTGAGTCTGTTTTGCCTGGGACTGTAAACAGTGAGCAAACCCTCCTTGTCCTTGTCTTGACCCATGAGCCTCTAGTTGGCCTTTGTCCTCCCCATCCCACTGCCTGCGTTGTGTGGGGGTTGTGGGGGGAGCTGAGTGAGCAGCCACATGGCTGGTTCTTTTTTGTTGTGTTAGGCCCAAACCATGACAGATGGGTTGACCTTGGACTACAGCCAGACTTCCACCCAGCCATTCTCTCATGCCCCCTCAACAGGACAAGACAAATAAGGTGAAAAAATCTCTTGAGATAAGAATAGGGATACCATCGATTGATTGCCATCACAGACAAAACAGACTGACTTGGGGGAATTAATTTATTGCCAATTATAAATAGATTGGATAATGAGAAATCAAAATAAAATTAAAACACCTTCCCCCTACTCATCCTTATTCTTCCTAGACTCAACCTCATTCCTTCATTCCCAACTCTTCCACCTCCTATCAGGCCCATCTGGCACTCCGTCTGACAGAGTGTTTCAGTCAGAAAAAGAATCAGACAGAATGCACCAGGTTTGATGAGATAAGAAGCAATCCCCTCCAAACACTTTACTTCAGCATTCATGGAATGGAATTAATAAAAGCCAAGCTACTGCAGCACACTGAGGACGTTTCAGTTTACCCTTTCTGTTTTAAACTGAGAAAGTCAGTTGCTAATTTGGGAAAGAGGTCTTTGTTCTGAGAGGAAAAATCTAGACATTAATCGTGTCTCTGTCATCAGCAGGTTTTCACTTTCAGGAAAAACAACTCCTCCTCTATGATCAAAAGGTTTTAATTTGTTTCTCAATCAATTGTTGAGGATTGAGGTAGGGTTTTTTGAGTTGTTTTTTGCATTTTCTGTTGTTTGGGGGGGGGGGGAGCTGTGTTGGGGGAAGAGGTGTAGGGTATTTTTGTTGGTGGTGTTGGTTTGGCTTGGTTTTTTTGAGGGGTAAATTCACTTTTTTTCCCAAGCCTGAGACTTTATATACTTATGGACACAGAGGAGAGGACATAATGATGGGGGAGGATAAAAATTTTATAATACTCTTTTATAACATTCCTAGAGGGAGTAAGGTTTACTTTTTTTTTTTTTTTTGCCAGGACAGAGTTACAATTATTAAAATTTATTCTAATATGCCAAGTAAAAAATGCAAGATATTTTAGGGATTCAACAGGAAAGGAATGCAAAAATAGCACAGACCTGTCTGAAAGACATTTCACTTCATTCACTTTTTTTTTTTTCTTTTGCCAAGAAAACACTGCTGTTCTGTGGAGCTACACAGGAACCTCAGCATCGCAAACATGACCATCTTCTTCCTATGTAAGCACTTGTCAATGCACGTCCTCAGGCTTTGCTTGACTTCCTGATTGCTCAAGCTGTAGATGACGGGCTTGAGCACAGGAGTAATAACTGTCTAAGACAGGGAAATAATTTTCTTTGTTTTGGACGAGAGGCTGGATTTGGGTCACAGGTGAATGATGCCAATTGTGCTGTAGAAAAGTCACTACCACAAGATGCATGGCACAAGTGGAAAACGTTTACCTGTGGCCTACAGACAAGAGCATCTGAAGAACAGCATGGACAATGCAAAGATAAGACATGGCTACTAGAGACCAAAAAAAGGAATCACCACTATTATAACAGTTAGAACAAAGATATGTCTGCGCACACCAGCTTCAGCACATGAGCAACATCACAGAAGAACCAATTTCTCTCAAAAAAGGGCAGTGCAAATAACCACTCGGTGAAGCCCAGAGCTACAGGAACACCAGACAGCCAAGAGCCATCCTAAAACAGTGATTCCTGCCCATCATGGTGGCATAATGCCACTGGCATTGGTGGTATATGGCCAATTGCCAGTCATAAGCTGCTAAGTGCTCCTAAGAGGAAACACTCACAGGTGACAAAAAGAATGACATAGCTGAGCTGCAAGGCACAAGCTGTAAAGGAAATAAATTTTCTCAGGAAAAATTTTCTCAGCAGGATCATGAGTATCTTGGGTACAATGCTTAGGCTGTAGCCAATCTCTGTCAAGACAAGATTCTTTAGTACATGAGTGCATGCAGGAGAGGGTCAGTGGTTGTGATCCCAGTAATTAGAGAGTTCCCAATCAACATGGCCAGAAATATTATGGAAATCAGCATGAAAAGTAGGAGTTGCATCTTGCCTTGGAAGGTAAACCCCAACAGTAAGAAATTAGTAGTGACTGTTTGGTTTCTGGGCTTAATTTCCCCAACAGGTCCCATAAAGCAAACAAACAAACAACCATGAAAACATTAGTAGCTTGGGTCAGACTTGTGGTCTCTGAAATAGCTACGGATCCAAGCAAAGAGGGGTTTAAAACATGAGGAGAAACTTGCATTGGGTAAGATAATGACCCCAGTGTAAAAATCTCAGATGGGGAACCTGTACAAGATCATCTTGTGCAGTCAAAGGCTGGGATTCAACTTCCCTAAATTAGCTGAACAAAAATAGATACAAAAATTTCCAGTACCCATTCTGTGTCTTCTTCATATAGAAATAAATTGATACCTCTAAAGCACAGTTTCTTTCCTTCTAAGACAAGTGTCCAAGGGTGACAGGATTAACAGTATAATTAATAATGCAGCAAGTCTACAAATGACCAAATTTTTTGATAGCTGGAATCAACTGTGATTCATTTAATTCTTGGTGCTCTAAGCTAGGTGATATGGAGATCCTGTGGCTTTCCACCTCCTGGTTTGCTCAAGCAGAAGTCATCTCCCTACACAATTTTCAGTGGTAACCCTGCAAAAGTACAGTCCAAACCTAAACAAGGTTAAACTAATAACAGTGTTCATTCACTTGTTTCATCAAATCATATAAAATCCACATTGTAGTGAAAACTAAGGATTATATTTTCTCTTCAGGATTCATACGCATGAGATGGGAACTTATAAAAATGGAACAAAAATTCCCAGCTAAAAATAAGACAAACTGCTTAGACTACCATAGAGATATCTGTATGCCCATTAAGATTTTGTCTGCCATCCACAGATGGAGGACTCTTTCTACTGACACTGCAGACAAACTGTACCACTAATAACCATAAGATAGCTGAAGATTTTGAAGTCTTTGTGTTTTCAGGATTTCTGAAAATGCCTTTTTATTTTCCTTAGCAATGACAAAAGAGAAAATGAGGAGATGAGAAGGCTAGGAAGGGTAGAGAGACAGAGCCTGAGATTCACTTGTTCAACATATTTATCTGCAAAATAGGCAGCTACAGTTGCCAGAGTTTTCTACACACAATAGAAGTAAGCACATATACTCCCAGTATAATTAATTTTTCTCCACCACAGACATCTAGAATAATATGAATTGCTGATGCCAAGGAGGTTCCTCTTTCTCTCAGGTGAATACGCAATTCAGATGTAAAAACCTGCATTGCCAGTACCTAAAGGGAGATGTAAGACATTCCTCTTGTAGATCTTAATAGCAGCTCCAGGCTCCAATTAGAAAAATGAATTATGGAAACACACATATTTTGGTTTTGCCTTAGGAACCAACTAAGAATGAGGGATAGAAGCTGAAATATTACCTCATGTTACTAAAACTGGTAGAATTTTCCCTCTCTTCAATAGGAACCAAAATTCTAAAGGCAGAGAGGAATAGAAATTCTTAACAGTGAGATAAAAAGCAATCCCTTTGCATGTCCTCTCTGATTCCAGAGGCTCCTACAGTTAACAGGTGGCAGCATTTGTATTGTCATGTGTTCCCAGTAGAATTGGGTCTCCAGACAGCAGCTTTCAGGATGATTAAATAATTTTATCCATGGTCTATATAAATAAACAGTATGTTTTAGTCTAAATGTGGTATAAGTAGAGTTTCCCTCCGCATTTTTGGAGCTGTACAGGTAACTGATAGAATCATTAATTATAGTAATATAATATTCTTTTTCTTATCTATTTCACTAACATTAGGGGAAATAAATGGAACTTGACATATGTTGGTTACCCATTAACTGAAAAGATTTTCATGAGATCACTAAAAACACTTAACAATGGTGAATATAGACCTTTGCATCTGGAAGCAAAAGTATTACATGCCCTAAATATGGCAAGCAACAGTATAATAACAGCTTATCTTATGGACATTTTGTCCACTTTATTCTGGAAATAAAATATTCTTACCTTTTGGTAGGTGAATGCAGATGGTGTTGTAGCTCTCTATGGTAACGTGGTAGCTTAGTGTTAAGACACTGGTGAAAAATTAGCTGATGTGAATCCAAGATTGAAGTATTCAACCCTTCATCACCTCCTCTAAAGGCTGGGATTGTATCTTAAAAAACCTAGATAGACAAATAAAACAAGTGGAACAAGAAGGAACTTGTTGTACCAAAGCAACATAGTTGGGAAACGTCACAGCAGCTGGATTAATATTCTGTTGCTGCAAAAGGGCTCAGACCTGAGCCTGAACTCCCTGACTGGACATCAAGTGGATCTTATCCTGCTTCTCATCTGCCATGAGTTATGTGACTTTCTCATTTGTGTGAATTGTCTCATTCTCTCATTCATGTGTATGCCATCTTCAGCCACGTGTGGTGGGTTGGCTTTAGGTGGCTTCCACATTCCCACCCAGCTGCTCTCTCATTCCCTCTCCTCAGCAGGACAGGACAGGGGGAGAAAATAAGATTTAAAACTTGTGGGTCACGGGGTCACTGACCTATTATCATCACAGGTAAAGCAGGCTGGACTCGGGGAAAATTAATTTATTGCCAATTAAAATATATTGGATGGTGAAACAAAAAAAATTAAAACACCTTCCTCCTAGCTTCCCCCTTTTCTTGGGCTCAATTTAATTCGTTCATTCCCAAATCTTCTGCCTTCTCCTACTCTGAGCAGTGGGGGGGTTGCCATCAGTTCATAACAGCTGGCCTTTGCAGCTTCTTCCTCCTCATGTGTTTCCTCTTTTCCACCATAGGTTCTCCCTGGGGCCTGCAGTCATTCAGGAGAAACAGGCTCCAGTGTGGGCTCTCCTCATACCACAGCTCTTTCAGGGAACAGACCACTTCAGGGACTGGGGTTAGGCAGAAGTGTCCCCGATCTCCAGGTCAGGATCTCCAGCCATGCAGCTGGACATACATTTGTACATCTTGTCCAGCTCTCGCTTGTGATGCTGCCGGGTCATCGACCAATTTCTGGGCCTGGCAAGGCTTCCTTTCACCCTGTTCTAGGTCTTCATTTCTTTAAGCGCAATTAGTTCGTACAGGATTTGCACGTAAAAAAAAAAAAAAGCAAACAGACAAAAAAAACCCCAAAACCAAACCAAACAAAAAAAATAAAGGTATCTTTCCATTTTCTTTCATATTGAGATTATTTTGGTTTCTTTTCCAACAGTTGCGTCATTCCCCTGAGCCTCAAGGGCTCTCAGTCTCTGCTTGCCTCTTCTGAGTGTTCCTCCAGTGTGCAGGGTGTGTGTGTGCATGTGTGTGAGTGGGTGGGGATTTTTGATCCACCACAGAGGTATATTCTTTGAAGCATCTGGCTGGTAGTTTGCATGATGAAAGTCCATGACATATTTAAGAATTGTTATTTGCAAATATTTTTCTCTGTCTGAGCATGCAGAGAGGCAGTTATGAAAGTCAAAACTGAGATGCATCTGGCCAAGGATGTCAAAGACAATCAGAAAGGCTTTTGTAAGTACACAGACACGTGTGGTCTACCTTGATTTCAGAATAGTTTTTGATGGCTTCCCTAGGTTCCCCATAGAGAAGCTGATGAAGTGTGGGCTGGAAGAACAATGAGGTGGATTGAAAACTGGTGGAATGGTCAGGCCCAGAGCAAGGTGATCCATGGCACAAAATCTAGTTGGAGGCTAGTAACTAGCAAAGTACCTCAGGAGTCAGTGCTGGGTCAAATCCTGTTTAATACTCTGATAATTATCTGTACCACGCAGCCTGCTGCTAACACAGAACTGGGAGCAGTGACTCACACACAAGAGTCATGCTGCCATCCAGAGGAACTTCCACAGACTAGAGAAATCTACCAACTGGAACCTCACAAAGTTCAACAAGGGGAACTGCAAAGTCCTGCAAAGTGAAGTAACAGCTCTCTCTAGGCTGGAGGGATGAAGACTGTGAAGTGTTAAATTAAACAGGTTAACTGAAAACCAGATCTTGTTCCACAGCTTTTCAACACATCTTTCAAGATTCTAGACATCTGAAAGTTAGAGATCCACTTTAAGTTATCCTTTAACTGATTCATCAGTGAAAGGAAATCAAGGACACAAATTTCCCAGCAGTTAAATTTTTTTCTTCCATGTTGCTTGCAGTTCCCTGAGTGAGCTACTGTATATTTTAAGGTTAACTGCTTACATTAGGCCATGACTAGTGGCATGCCATTACCTTGATCCATAGCACACATATCCATATCATGCCATCTTTGAACCCAGATGGCTTTGAGAAGGCAGCATCCCAGCCCAGTGAACTTAAAGACTGGTTTGTTGGTTGCAGTAATGCTCAAGGGATAGATCTAAACTGAAATTTCCCTGATCTTGATAGAATAGTCTATGTTAATGAGAAAGAAGGTGGCCCAAACAACCATCTGCTAAAAAACATGAAAAAAGCTGTGGACCAGAATCCTAAGTTTGCTCCTGAAACAAAAGGTGTCATTCACTGGCTTATGGACGGAAGAGAAGGGGGTAAGAAGAAGGAAGGAAGTTGTCTTCTGTGATCTCTGACCTTCCTTTGAGCTTACGTAGATATATGGAATGGAATATCTCTGGTCCATTTTGCTGTCTGTCTAACTCAGCCTCCTACGGGGGGGATCACAGATCTCCCCACAGTGTCTGAGACAGCAGAGTGAAAGAGCAACCTTGAAGCCCCAGCAGTTACAAAAACATTCCAGTGTCTTATCAGCCTAGCAGAACACACAGTTGCTAGTTACAAGAAAGCTTACTGAAGGAAAAAAAAAAAAAAAAAAAAAGCAGTAAAAGGAAAATCGGCTTAATCCTGGCTCAAACCAGGTCTTCTAGCTAGAGGGAGACTCCATGCTGTCGCCCTTTAGCTTGGTGTCGGTAGAGAAAGCAGCCTGTACACACTAGTGTTGTTTCTGCATAGTTTCAAAGCACAAGCAGGCCAGTTGCTTATTCCTGGTGGCACACTTTCAGAAGTCATATCTGGTCCATTAGGAGCCACATTTCTTCAAGAAGGAAAACTCAAGAGAGAAAACGATGGAAAGAAAACCTTAGTAATGTACATCTCCAAGCAAATCCCAACCTAACGTACTAA